GGAGTGAAGTTTGAGGACCAGTAAGGAGACTGTTGGGAAGAGAGGGCTGAGGACCAGTAAGGAGACTGATGGGGAGTGAGGTCCAGTAAGGAGACCGATGGGGAGTGAGGGCTGAGGACCAGTAAGAAGACTGATGGGGAGTGAGGTCCAGTAAGGAGACTAATGGGGAGTGAGGTCCAGTAAGGAGACTAATGGGGAGTGAGGGCTGAGGACCAGTAAGGAGACTGACGGGGAATGAGGGCTGAGGACCAGTAAGGAGACTGATGGGCATTGAAGGCTGAGGTACTGCTGAGGAGAATGAAAAATGTCAGCTATGACAGCAGTATATCTGACATTGCAATAACAAAGCATTGTAACTCAGCGGACCAGGGGATAATTGTGAGGTACAGCACAGAAACGAATCAGGGGTCAGGTCTGACAATGTTGATATTATTGCCAGGTTTGAACCAGCCCCTGTGAACCCAGGGAGATATTTTGTCATGCAGGCATGGAGCTTGCACAGCTACCAAATGACATTGTCCTTGCGGCAGTGTCAGGTTTACTGACGAAATAGCTGATAGTTGTGGGTATGTGAGTAACAGGGCAGGTTCGAACCGAACTGACCAAAGTGAAGCTACAGTATAGAACTCTTTTCTAAATTATTAAAGCATGGTATAAGATTTCATTTCAAATTTTGCGGTTTTCACTAAAGGGTTTGAAATGAACAATGCTTACAATGCTTCAGTGCAGAGCGGTGACTCTGTGGCTAAGGAGCTGCGCTGTGCCTGTGGCTGGAAGGTTGCCAGTTCTAATCCCACAGCTGGCAGAGGAATCCTACTCTGTTGGGCTCCTGAGCAAGGCCCTTCACCCCAACTGCTCCAGGGGTGCTGTGTAAATGACTGACCCTACGCTCTGAGCCCCAGCTTCTCTCCCTGTCTGTGTGTCTCATGGAGAACAAGCTGGGGTCTGCAAAAAGACAAATTCCTAATACAAGAAATTGTATAGGGCCAATAAGGTGATCTCATCTGATCTCTTACAGAAACTCAAAGGATTGTGGAATCCCTGTGAGTGTGCCTGTGTGGATTTGGAAATCAGAAGACTTTCCCCTGTAAGTTGTCTTTGGTCCTTTCACATCTACCTGTCCAATAAGACGCCTCTAAATACAAACTGCAGTTTGACTTTTGCACGCTATGACAGAATACTAGAAGATATACTGTCGATGTACTGGTTGAAATAAAATATAAAATGAAAAAAAAAGACTTAAACAGTCGATCATTTGTTGTCCAACACACTGCAAATAGAACTGATTTGCTGGAGCAATGAAGTAGAGGAAGCCGTAGAATACGGAGCTTAAGGACTTCACTGTAGGATAACTAGCTACAACAGCTACCCGCATCAGAGAAACGACGCAGGGCGGGTTTTTGTCTTTGCCGAGTGCGCAGAAAGCTCGACTCCAGTGTACCGCGTGTTCTGAGTTGATGCATACGTACATCTGCTTTGCACTTTTTAAATTCTCTCGTAATCGTTTGTGTAACCTAGCACAATGTGTCCATTCCATCTCAAATGATTGATGATTTAATAAAATGGGACTGTCTTCCCAGGGCTTCCTCACAACAGGGGGCAGATTGAGTTGACTCTTTTGCACATTTGAAAATCACAGGTCTCCCTTTCGTTGTGTACTGGTCCGTGAGCATGTAATGCATACACTGGTTTGGACCAGCTCCTATCTAGTTCAGTATCCCCATCTGTATCCCCCTCCGAAATGCTCTGGGACCCATGCTTTTTCTCATCCTGCACAGATAGAAAATATTTCTATGCCAAAAAGGACAAAAGATGCACACAGCCCTTGTGTGCTTTCTTTCGGGTTCCCTTGTCTTGTGTAGTTTTCATTCGTGTTTTTTTACACGACGCGAATCCCTACACAACTCATTAAATACACTAATATATCGATATAAACATACACAAACACCAGGCTCCTTTTAATGCAGACCTTAATGACCAAAAGCACAAACGCGCACGCATGAGCCTATTGTATATCATTAAGTCATTTTGAGGAGCATTTTGAGGAGCGCCTGCGCATTACGGAGGGGGAAACCGATTTTCGGAGGACACCGAACTGGATACGACCGCAGCAGTACGCGTGTAGAGATATGGTGAGCTTTGACTTACACGTCATTTCCCTGGTCAGGGCTGGCGAATGTGGTAAAATTGCTTAATCAGTTTGCATCTCAATTGAATGAGAGAATTAAACGACTGCGCGCGTATTGTTTTGGACTGTACTGTAGCTTGAGCTGTTTTGCTTTCCTAAATATTACCTTTAGAGCTATTAACCTGTCACTAAAACGTTGTTAAAGAGTTAATAAGAGCGGAGTCTGATCTACTGAAAACATCATGGGCAGAGGGATCTCAAGATGGTTGAGATAGTTAACGGAAACGATTGCTTGCATTACTTAATTCATACGATTAATTATCCATCCCTTTATGTATGAAATGTAAGAATGCCTTCTCGGTATAATTGACTAACCCTTAAAGATATACTGTAGTGAGCAAACAACAAAGTGGAATATTATGGAGTTTTTTAGCTCAGGGTAAGCTGATCCAAAGTCCTTGAGTATAACAGAACAGACATACATTGTTATAGTAGGAGTGCATGAGACAATTCATACTTCATAATACTTTATTGCTGGAGAGTAAATTAAAGCAACTAACAAAATCCTGCCCATCTATCCTGTGGGCTCAGACAGCATTATCAGGTGGTTCCTCCTTATTAACTTCATAATACAACTGGTGAGCAGACATTTCACCAAAATTATGAAACATCCCAGGGGCTTGGACAATGAATTCTGTAAGATAGTGTAAGTTTTCAATCCAAACTATTGCTATTTTAATATGCAGGTAACAACTTCACAGTATTTTGAATTACAAGTGGAAGGGGCCACTTTAGAACAGGAGATCTCTATTAGTACTGTGCTTGATTACTGAAACAACATGCGACGTGTTTGGAAATCAGTCATTGGTGCTTTATTAGGGAAACAGGAGGGGGGGTACAAGTTAGTATTTACGATATCCAGGCTCTTGTCCAGGGTTTGCCCACTGTGTGCTGACTGCTTGTGTTTCATTTGTATAATATCATGTAACTGCCATTCTCAAAGGCCACACACAGTCCAATAATATTACCCTTAAAGATACCGATAACAACAACAGAGTGGAAGATTATGGAGTTTTTTTTGTTTGAGATACAGTATTTTATTCAGCTGGTCAAAAGACCTTAATTATAACAGAACAAGCATTGAATGTGACAGCAGGAGTGCATGAGACTACAAATACTTGATTGTCACCCAAACTGAAGAACTGTCCACAAGGTGACCTTGATGCCACCTGGAACCAAACTCTGTACTGTTTCCCTCTGAGTTTCCCTTTCATGGGGAAAGGTGTGTGTAAAGCAACATGTTAATTTATGAAATATTAAACAGAAAACTCAGATCAGTCTGGATTCATGTGTCTTTATTATACTTGAATTGAAGCGATACATTAGGAGAAGGAGTTTTAATTGCAGAGATCATACATCTTGACATTTGCGTTCACATAGCAGCATGCTGAAGCCTCTCGAGCCACCAGGGGGCGCTCAGCAGCCCTGCGGGGTGATGGATGCTATGACGGGCGTGGGGCTGGACTCGTGCTTGGCGATGCAGGAGTAGAGCGCGTGAGTCTGCCACTCCGCCGCGGGCAGGCTCAGGGAGCTGCTGGTGACGTAGGTGTTCTGGGCGGCGTTGGCGCTGTCCAGCCACACGGGGGCGCTGTGCACGCCGCTGGTGACCGGGGCGCCGTCCACACTCCAGCTCACGTCGACGAAGCCGGGGTAGAAACCGCTCACCAAGCAGGTGACCGTCACCGAGCCGTTAGCGGAGACCTCTTGTGTGGGCGGAGGGAAGAGCTGGAGGACAGGAGGGGGGAGGCCGCTTTCTGTAGGAGCAAGGAAATGGAAAATGAGCTTTTCAAATCCTCTCTTTACCTGGGTTTAAGAAAATTAAATACTAAGATGTTAATATGAGGAATATATATCATGAAACTAAGCCCCATGAATGGAAAAAAATGGCTGTTGCATTGTTAAAATGGAGTTATTTCTATTTTGCTTTATATCCATTAAGCATTTTATTGAAGTGCGCCAATCCCAGCAAGCAAAGGGCACAAGGCAAAGTACACACTGGGCGGAACACCAGTCCATCACAGGGCACACACAGACACAATGACACACACACTCACACCAGGGCCAGTTTTCCCAGAAGCCAATTGACCAGTATGTTTTTGGACTTTAGGAAGGAACCAGAGCACCAGGAGGAAACCCACACAAACCCAGAGAGAACATACAGCCTCCACACAGACAGCACCCCAGGAATTGAACCCAGGGCCCCAGCGCTGTGAGGCAGCAATGCTAACAATTCTGCCATTTGTTTCATACAGTATGTTGTGTGTGATTCTTTCAGCCTGCTATGAATTTTCTGCAACCTAGAGTTATAGTACGATGTAATTTGGTGGTGGTAGCATACTGCCGCTCTTAAAGTGCCGTCATTTTCTCGTGGAGGATAAATATTTTTAAAAATGTGCAGAGTATTTTCTGCGGAGACACTTGTCGTTTTCAGTCAGGTGTTTTCAAATACTTTTATAATGATTATCACGATTGCAAAGTATCATGATTCAAGCAGAATGGAAGTGGATGGGTCGATGAATCAATCTAGGGTTTTAACGTCAGGGTATGAGCACACATGAAATAAAAAACAAATAAACATTATCTGTCTTTTATTTGGTTAAAAAGCTGCATTAGAATTAACTACAGCATTTTTCTTCCTTTTTTAGTTTAATGGTCAATGTGTTAAACAGTATATATAATTTTAATTATTTTAATTTGTTAAAATTCATTTTTTTAATCGAATGACCATTTTCATATTATTTGGCTTCTTAATGATTTTTCACATGAATGTCACAGAGCTCAATCGTTAATCTTGGTGAATATTGAATAAAACCAATTTGATTATGTGGGTATGATAGTCTTCTGTATGAGAGTTTTTGCTTCTTAAGAAAGTTAAGACACTTACTGAGAACTTTGATGCGAGTTCCTTCTCCCCATGTCTGTTCGCCATCAGTATAGTACTTGAAACAGTAATAGATGGAGTCATCACCTTCCTGAATGTTGCTCACAGTGAGAAGATAGCTGTTCTTGGATTCATCTCTGGACGGCACAAACCGATCAGGGATCGCAGAGGGTCTGTAGATCTTTTTATCAGAAGTAAAATACGCTACTCCTTCAGGTTGTTTCCCAGGGGTCTGACGAATCCAGGGCACACCTATTCTGCTGACATTATCACCCTTAACCAAGCACTCCAGAGTGACAGATTCTCCAAGAGACACAGGGACTACTGAGGGAGACTGGGAGAAAACTATTTCTCCTTGGACAACTGTGGATGATAAAAAAAGTTTAACATTACGCTCTGCACTGCTGGTGTGCATCTCCTAATTCTCTTTAAAAATGCTGGAGTTTTCACAAAATTGTGCACCTCATACATTTCTAACATGATTTGTCTTTGCCGATGTATCTGCTATAGGACACTCTTTTCAAATTCAAGCTTGAGATTTCTGTATCATGACAACTTTCCCCCTCAAAAACCCCATTTTATTGTTACCCTTAATCCATATCTTCCTTGAATTCAGCACCGCCTTGGTTCATTGTCCCAAGCTCAATTCTTTCATGTCTGCAATGTCCTATAAGAATTCCATTCATTTCTTTCAGCTGTAAGCACTATTTGTAAAGTCCTTTTGCGTTTACTGGAATCGTGTTATTCTATTTCTGAAAACCTCACAATTTTCTTAATACACTTGAGTGTTAAAGACAAGAAACCATACTTACGGGTCACAGAGACCAGAGCTACAAGGACTTGTATGGTAAGCATCTTGGACGTCTTCCTCAAGGTGTTACAACGCTCAGCGCCCACAGCCGTTATGACCAATGGAGCTTACGAAGGGCTGTTTATGAGGTATCCGTGCGTCACTCAGGGAAATCAGGGACATTTATGTTAATTGGCAGGCCGCGATTGGCTGCTGAGATGTTACTTTTTTCTCCGTTTCCGAACACGTTGTTGTCAAGCTGTTTTTAGAGAGACGGTCAGGCGTTTCAAACGACCCCACAGGTTTTTCCAAGACCCAACTTTTGGAGACAGAGTTTGGTGAAGAAAAAGAATTCTGCACACTTTGGGAAAGATTCCTGAAATAAGCTGTTGTGGGAGAACTCTGTCTCCTGCTGAAGTTACAACAAGGCCCTTCCCTATTGATCTGCATGGACAATCATAGACTTATAGGTCTTCAGTGCTATGCTGATGAAGAATAGTCTTGTAGAAGGCAAGGGGTCAGTAGGCCTGTGAATTGATATCATCATTGGTTTATTTAGCTATAGCCTTTATCCAGGGTGTTCTGCCTACATTCTGGACAATCAGTGATCTACAAAAACTGAACAGTGCCAGAATACACTATAAACAACAGCAGCACTTCAAAAACCTAATGCGATAGTTGAAACGATATAAGTGGCAGAAGAAATGATTGTAATGTTGGAATGAATCAAAGGATCAGCAGATGGCTGTGGATGAGGTGATAGACAGAAGACAGAGACAGTGTGACTGTGATTGGGGGGTGTCACCCCAGTGGTGCCAGGGTGGAGAAGGAGAAACAGATGATGGTGCAGAGAGAGGAGATGGAAAAGGGACAACACCAGCAAGTGAGAGGAGACCTGGAGATATCAGAGATTGTAGAGAGAGGAGTAGGAGCAGCTGAAAGACCAGACGAAGAGGAGCAGAGGAGAAAAGAAATGAGGAGCTAGAGAGAAGGGAGAAGATTGATGAAGGAGTCCTCCATAGGTGTGACAGGTTTCAGAGGGGAGAAAGAGCTGTACAAGAGGCAGGAGAGGGAGAAGGAGCAGCTGAGAAACCAGCAGATGAGAGGAGACCAGGAGAGAATAGACACTGTAGAGAGAGGAGAAGGATCAGCTGTTGAGAGAGCAGCAGATGAGAGAAGACCAGGAGATATCAGAAACTGTAGAGAGAGGAGACGCAGCAGCTGTAGAGAAAGGAAAAGCAGCAGCTGAGAGACTAGGTGAAGAGGACCAGAGTGGAAGAGGAATGAAGAGATGGAGAGAGAAGGGAGCAGAGTGACAAAGGGATCTTCCACAGGGTAGAGAGCAGTACAAGAGGCAGGAGAGAGAGAAGGAGCAGCTGAGAGACCAGCCGATGAGAGGAGAGCAGGAGATAACAGACACTGTAGAGAGAGAAATAGGAGCAGCTGAGAGAGCAGGAGAAGTAACTGGGGATAAACAGGGAACAGCAGGGTGGTGAAGGAAATCATACTGTAGGTTTGTGATTTGTGAGATCAGTGTCAGATAACTGCTTTGAAATACAGTAGTTTCTATTATTGTATCTTTGTCAAGTTACTACAATATAATAATAATAATACAATACAAAATAACAATTATACAATAATTCCTTTGTGAAAGGAATGAAGATTAATTTAAAGGTTTATCTCAATTTTATGAAATACTATACACATCTTTGACTCTAATATCACATAGTTTGAGCATCTTACCACATCAGTTATCACCCTCTCTGTAACACTGGTGTAACTCAGTGATTCAGAATTCTCACTTAATACTTTCAGCTAAATATTTCCATCCATTTTAAGTAACTGTTTTCATTGCCATCCAGTCACCTTTACAGGAGAGGATTCTGACACACCAGTTAACCTGCACAGCGTGTCTCTTTGGAGAGAATGTAGACTCATCAAAAACAGCACTCCTGTCTGAAATTAAAATTATGATCAAAGTGCACTGGCTAAAACCCACACCATTACAGTATATCACCTGCTTTAAAATATGTGTTTCATTAAAGGGATTTTATAGAGAAGACTGACTAGGTTTAGGATAAAAGTGAGTAAAACCCTCAGCAAAACCCTAATTTTCATAGGATTTCAGCTCTTAAAAGATTCTGGAGCAGAACACACCTGCATGTTTGAATGCTTTGCAGGTATTTTGTTAAAGAGCTCTTGAGGTTTAGCTTCAGGACTAAGCGTGCAGTAATTAAATCTAGAGAACCAAGATAATTTCAAAATTGCTAAATCTTCCTCTCCATGATGTTGTGTCTTGAACTTACTGCCCATGTTGTGTGTGATAATAAAGGCTTAAAAGGGATAATAGAGTGAAGTCAACCTTATGGTTCGTAGGTTCATGTCCCAGCTGGGTCAGTCAGCCAGAGTCCTTTATTGAAGATTGCTATGATGTGTTAAAGTGACCTCTCTACTTCGTCTCTGAGCGTTTATCAATTGTTATCTGGTTGAATATAAGACAAATAAATAAATGATTATCATATACATTTTAGAGGCATTCCATGTGTTTCACTGGTGATATATCAAGACTCTTATTCCCCCTTTAAGGGATAAAGCCCAGTGTTCAGAAAAGACTGAAAGAAAGGCTTGCAAGTGCTTGCAAAGTCCACAAAGAAGCACAGGATGGTCTCAGGAGACAATAATCATTGCAAACTCTGTAAGTAAATATGGATAAACACAGATAACATAATTTGTCAACCCCCTGCTTTTGAAAATCAGGTCTAATGTGTGTAGAAGCACCATCATTTTAGTTCCAATGTTAAGGCTGTTGAGGTTCCTACAGAACCTCCAGGATCCTTGAAGAATGGGACTGGTCTTTTGGTAGGTGGTCAGGTACTTGGAGGTGTGAAGCACATGGATGTGCCACATCAGCTGATTCCCATCAGCCTTTGAGGGCTCCACAGGGAGGGATGGCTCACGATGAAAGATAAGAGCAGTAGGGTTCAAGTACCATTCAAAAACCTCCCAGCAGAAAGTTTGCTGTATTGGGTGCAGCAGTTTTAATACTCATCAGATCTGTGTAGATGGTTCCTTACAGCTCAATGAGATCTGAGAAAGCCAGTTATTAAAAATGTACATGGTCGCAAAGCCCTACTTTCAGTTCATTTGGACATTTGACAAAGTAAATACTAACAGAACTAGGAAGAAGTTACAACGTGTAATTTCTACGAAGGGGCCACTTCTCCAGGAAGACTCAAACCTTGTAAAGAGTGTTGACATTAATTTTGCTAGATTAAACATAATTTGGGAGGTTCCCTCTCTCCTATATATTCATCGAAAGAAGAAATGCTCCCAGCAAACACTGCAAGAGGAAGTGAAGGAAAATCCTGCCCACAGGCTGCAGACGCTTCCTGTTTTGCTGCAGGCCCCGCCCACCTGCCATGGAAGCTTCCTGGTTTGCTTTGTTTATGACTTCTGTTAGTCTCTACAAAAGGGTAAAGGTCCCACCACATTTTGCGAAGCACTTCCTGTTTTGCTGAAGGCCCCGCCCACTGGAGTGGAAGCTTCCTGTTTTGCTTTGTTTATGAGTTCTGTCAGTTTATTTCTGGCCAGAGTAGGACCTTCTGGTTCCGGCTAGAGAGTGTTTTGTAAACAGAGTCATTTAGATGGACTTCATAATCTTAAAACAAAGATTCCTAAATCTAAAGAGTCTTACCCATACATCCATATGGAATTTTCTGAGTGTTCTGATTAATTATGTCATATTAATTAATTACAAAACACTGTGATATGGAAAAAAAACTTGTTTGAAGAGATCTTGTAGCTTATTCATTTGGCTGGTCTGTAAATCGCTTTCATGTCCTCAAATATTAAAAAACATTAGGTCACTTTACTACAGTCTATAGTGTCACACCTGCAGACAAGTGATTTTCCAGAATTTCTCATGACCAATAATCGTATAAGGAGACGAGACAAAACTGAAAAAAATGTAAACATTTAATACGTACGAAAGATAAGTGTGTCTCTCACAGTTGTCTTTAGGTTAATGTGCAACTCAAAATGTCCCCTCATATAAATCAGGGGCTTTCCGTGTGTTTTTGTTTCACGTTAAAATGATTGAGGTTCGTGACAGGAGGTTTTCAAGCTTTTAACTTGATAAAAGTTACTCTCGCATATGTGAATACCTTCTGTGAAATCCGGGAAACCAGCGGTATTTTGAACTTTCAGCACTGCAAATTTATACGCCACACTGTGGCAGAATCAGTTTGGCAGAACAGGTCATTCTTGGTTTAAGGGGGAGATGCGGGCCTTGAATGATGTTGCATACTGTAACTCCAAATACGTGTCAACTAAAAAGTACTAAGAATGCCTGTAAATATGGGGATGTGTTCTCCTAATACTCCTAAACATGGAGTATTAGAACAATTAATAGGTTTATTCCATGCTGAAAAAGAGAAGAAATCAACGTTTCGGCCATGGAGCCTTCTTCAGGTGTGAGGGATTTTTCCTGGATAATTGTTTCTGTATTAAAACAATTACATGTTAAGGAACAGGTAAAGGTTTATTCCATGGTAAAAAGAAAAAGAGCCTTCTTCGGGTGTCAAGTTCAAGGGTGCCCCTGTTCTGTATACTGTATATTGGTTTGTGCGGGTAGTGCACTTGTATTGATATTGGTGTGTTGTCCGATCCAAAGTATCGGTACTTACAGCGCATTTGCACGTTTTTCTGTCAGTGCTGGTGAATGGGGTAGAATGGTTTTGTTGCCTGCTTCTTCAGTTTGCGTCTAAGCTGGATGCGATAAAAACGGCATATTTTTCGGTCTGTATGCAGCCTCAGTTATTTTGCATATCTTCATGAGATTGCGTTTCCTGTCAGCTCCGTTGAATTTGCATCTTCATCGCGCCGATTTTTCTGGGTCACGTGGTTTAGTGGTATGGGCCCTGATTGGCCATCGCCTTGGGCTGATATGCATATTACCCGCCCTGGATCAGCCTGTGGGCATCAGCTGTGTGCAACTGAGTTCGAGTCCCGTTAACAGAGCAAGGACTTTCCAGAGGTTTACTAAAAACACATGCTAAGATGTTGCTTCCAAGCCTTTTGTTATCATTATATGT